AATTTAAAATGGAAGAAATACACCATAAATGCTGACATGACATAGAGAGTGTGCACACTCTCTTGAAGGCAAATAATGAGTACACAATTTGGACACATGTCATTTTTTAATTAATAATTTTATAATTAGCTAGTATGCATATTTATTGATACTAAATTTTATATAAATTTAATTATATTTATTTCTTTCTTTGTAAAATATTTATTTTAATTTCTTTCTCACTGTAAACTTGTTTAAATTAATGTATTATCTTTTCACTTTTAATTATTTTTTAAAATTATGTGTGTTTTAAAAAAAATAAAAATAAAAAGCGTCCTTTAATTTTAACTTATTTTAAAGACAAGACATTTGTAATTAAATTTGAAATCAAATCAAAACGAAAGACAAAGAAAATAAAAAGAGTAAATAAAATCAATTGAAAAATAAAAGAGAAAAAATAATGAATGAAGGTTAAAAAAAAGTTTTGATACAAGGTAAAAATATGTATTAGCTTGATTTAATTACAAGATAAAGAAAATAAGAATATTCTTTAAAAACATATACAAAATTACATTTTTAAAAAAAAATATATTTAAACACGTGGCAGACACGTGTGTACAAACACAACCAACTTGGGTGGTTAAAAGTGTCACGTCAACACAAAAGGTGCACAAAAATACGAAAAAATGAGTTTTGAGGGGTAATATGACCCCTAGTAAGTTTAGATGTGTCTCTGAGATTTCGGTCATAGTCTAAGAAATACTTGTGCCTTATCCCTGGAATATTCGTGCAAAGCAAGAACATAGAGACTAGCATATATATACTTGTGGGGTCCATATTTATCTGACATTGCTAGATATATTTTTATAGTTGAGTAATTTAATTGATACAAAATGGAGTAAAATTTATATTAAATCCATCGGTGATCACCTAAAGTTGGTATCAACTTTTACTTACACATCTCAACTAAGCTTTGTTCATTTAAGACACCTCAAGTCATGTTCCGTTGTGTCATTTTGACACTTTTTTTCTAACATGGCATAGTGAGTGTAACACACTCCTTATCAACGCGTGAAAGACTATTTTAATCAATTTTTATTTTGATTTTGATTTTTTCTTCCCCATTTTTAAGCCTGCATCTCCCAAAATTTAAACTCCTTTCTATGAGGGAAATCGATTTGATAATGCCACAGTTAAAAAACGAACTTCAACGTCAAGAACTAACCCTTCCATGGTGAATCAAAAAAAGGAACTAACATTTCATTTCCTAGCGCTTTTTCCTATTTGATCAAAAAAATTCGAGAAGACAATGGGTGGGATGGGGGAGGGGTGGAGAGGACGATGTGGGTGGGGAAGGGGCTGGGGTTAGGGTCGGTAAGGGGTGGAGAAGACGCTGGGTGGGGTGGGGGAGGGGTTGGGGGTGGGGTGGGTGTGGGTGGGAGTGGAGAAGATGATCTGGGTGGGGTTGGGTAAATTTTAATTTTAAAAAAATTTGGACAAAAAATTCCAGATGTCATTTAGTTATTGGCCTCTTTTTTTCTACTTAAAATCATTGTTTGAGAATTATTTTTGGTATATATATGCCATGTGTCTTTATTTAATTTGTCACGTTGACATATCATCAGCGAGTGTGTTACACACACCTTACATATTTGAGTGATTATAAAAAAAACTGTCAAAATGACACAGCGGGACATGATATGAAGTATCTAAAATGAACAAAGCCTAGTTAAGGTGTCTAAGTAAAAATTGATGTCAATTTTAAGGGCTCACAGAGGGTTCAGCCTTAATCATATGACATTTTAAGCTATTAAATGAATAAAATGTTGGGTTTTAAAGGTGTGAACAGGAAATGAAGGGTTGTGACTCTCCTGAAGACTTGTAACTATGCCGAAGGGTTATGACCTTAATGAAAGGTTGTGTCCTTTCTAAAGGGTTGTGACCATTTGAAAGGTTATTCCTTTTCCAAAGTGTTGTGACCTTTCTAAAAGGTTGTCTTCTTTCCAAAGGGTTGTGACCTTTACCCTTTGTTGGCTATAAATAAAGAGTTTTTCTCTCATTTTTCTGATCGAATTCTTCCCTTCTTTTGCATACATTTCTTACAAAACAAAATCGATCGATCATGTCTCTGTGTGTGATTCGTTGCTGTCATTTTGGGTTCGTTGAAATTATCGAAGTTTGAGGTACCGCTACTTCTTTAATGGTTCATCCGTTTTATCTTGGGAGGAATTAATCTGCAACCTCGGGTACTTGAGGGGATTAAATTTCTTAAGGACACACAGTGGGTTCTGTGGACTCGGATAGTTCTGTCACGCCCCGAGCCTACACCCTGGGCGGGACCGGCACCTGGAGACCATTGCTGGCCCCAGGCGAACCCTTGGCCTGGCTTTCTTAACTCAGCGGAAACTTAACTCAACAGAATAACTCAATGCCATGCAAAGACATAAACAACTTAACTAACAAAAGTATGGCCCAAAGGGCAACTCGAGTCTCAAAATAGAATATTTACATATATATATACGCATACATGGATGAGAGACTCAAAACTAACTGACTGACTGACTGACTGACTGTCTATTGAAGCCTCTAATATCCTGAGATGGATGTGAGGACAGACCCCGCAACATCCTAATAGAACAAAACTAAGTACACAAAATAATTGAGTCCTCCGGAATGCAAGGAGGCTCACCACAAACTCTGGAGTGCTCGGCTGGATCAACGACGTGCAGGATGCTGATCCGGGGGTACCTGTATCTGCATCATAAGACGATGCAGGCCAACTGGCATCAGTACATGGAATATACGAATATGTGAGCTGGAAAAGTTGAACCCCAACTTAAGCTTGAAAGGAGAACAAGAGATCACTTACCTTGACTCTGAACAACTCATATAAATAACTGGACTCAAAGTAAAGCAATGAGACACAAGCCATACATATAAAGCTTGTAAAAGAATGTAAACAACTTAGATCGTTAAGGATAAACTGATAACAAACTCGACTTTTCTTTTATAAACATAATACCGCTTTGTGGGAGGTTCTTTAACCGACAACCACCACTACGAGCCTTAGTGATGATACAACGTTTTACCTCACGTTGCCAAGGACCATCCTATACCTTGCCATCGATATAGGACCTTACTTTTGCTTAGTGGATCCACTAGCCTAATCTTACGTGATCATCTAAAAAGAATGATACGACAAGTCCCATGTTGGCGCATGGTTCTTATGGAGAGTTGAGTTAATATGAACTCGTGTCCCCAATTCGGTGCTCAATACTACTCCCAAAAATACTTTGGCTCATGCTTTTAAAATAACTTCTTTCTTTGATTGAGATAATTACTCAAAACTTTAGCCCAAAGGCTCCTTTGGGGAAAGAAAACATGATTCCCTTCTTATTCAAATATAATAGCATTTACAACCTCCTTTGGGAATACTTAGTTCCCTAATAGCTTTCTCTTTTTTTAAAAAAAAAAAAGAGAACTCAACTTTAAACTCATGACTTAGCTTGAAACTAAGACTCTTACTCGACTTGAAACTTCACTTGACTTGGAAATATCTTTCCTTGAATCGGAATTATGAATTCAAGGTGTTCGATCACATGTTATGGAAGGATTCTTGAACGCTTAGACGCACTTTGGAACGTCGAAAACAACTATAAAAAAAACATAGGTGAATTACTTTGGAACATGCATGAGAAAGTGAGAAAAGAAGAGGGGAAACTTGGCTGAGACTTCAGATTTCTGGTGACACAGATGGGACTTACGGACGCCATCGACGGACCGTAGATGGACTTACGGTCCGTACTGCAGGTCCGTAGATTGCGTCAGAGATTTTCCCCAGAATTTATTTAAGAAAAAGACTAAGTGTTGACCTACGGTCCTGACTTACGGTCCGTAGGTTAGGCCACGGACCGTAGGTCGTGACCGTAGATCGATGCCCCAAAAACCAACTTCTGTTCCGATTGACGGTTGACCAGTACGGACCGTCGATCGATCTATGGTCCGTAGGTCAGTCCCGTAGATGGGGATCGACAGCCCAGAAATTTCTGCAAATCGATGGTGGATCAACCTTTAAAGGGTCATAGCTCTTAGAATCATAATCCCCTCAACTTACAATAGGTTTCAACTTAATGCACAACCCAATCAAGCCTCACAACGAACAATAACTTCAACAACCTCAACAACAATATCAACAACAACTAACAACTTTGACACTTCAACACAATTCCCAATCTTTTCTCAAAGCATAGAATAAACTTGGTGTGTGTGAGGGAAAGGATCAACCCACACGAAAAACTCACATACCTTGATAGGGATCACCCCCGACGAAAATCCACAATGGTCTTGACAAATCTCCTCTTTCTTCTCTTCTTCTTCTTCTCCTTCTTCTCTTCTTCAATCTCAAGAACCCTAACTCTTTCTCTTTCAAAAATGGGACAAAAATGATCCAAAGATCATCCTAATACAACAATATGAGCTCAAAAGAATTGGCTAGGGAAAAGACTAAAATGCCCTTAATGATTCCCGGACGGATTTCCTTGTCAACTGCCCAACTTTCAAAGGTCATAACTCCCTCATACGAACTCGGAATCGAGCAAACTCGGTGGCGTTGGAAAGGTCGTTCCACGAACTTTGCAACCATAACTGGAATTCCACCTAACTCATCCTGAGCTATAATTTATGGCTGTTCAAAGTTGGCCAAAATTTCACATTTTCCATACTTAGCCAAAATTTCCAAAACTTTAAATTCTTTCCAAAAATGAAAATTTCCAATTCTAAGCCTCTTCAATTATTTCATATTGCCGGATGTTACAAGTTCTTTGTGTTTTTCTTTTCATCTTTTATTATTTCTGGTTTGCTAATCTGAATACAGGAGATAACAAAGATAAGTTTATTATTTCAACAATGGAACAAGTGAGACTGAATAGGAGGCTTACTAGCTTCAACAAACAAATTAAGTGGATAAAATAAAGGATTGTGGACACAAAATGCACAACTACAAGTTGGAACATAACTGCATACTACGTCCTCCTAGAGTAGAGTGGAATGGGGACAAGTCGTAGAGGACGTGATTTGGCTAGTATAAGCCCAAATTTCTCTTCCAAATCTTTTGGTGCAATGTTTTCTTCAAGAGTCCAATCAAATGAATTCAACAATGAACCCAACATTGCCGGAATTGCCCTAATTGCCAAAGGTAATCCAACGCACATTCTCCGCCCAACACCAAAAGGAATGAGCTCAAAATTATTATCATGAAAATCCAAATTGATCGAATCCCAAAACCTTTCTGGTTTAAATGCTAAAGGATCCTCCCAAATATCAGGGTCTCGACCAATTGCCCATACATTCACTAACACTTGTGAACCCTTTGGGACAAAGTAGCCACACAATTCAACATCTTGCTCTGCCTTGCGAGTTAAAAGGGAAGAAGGGGGGTGTATTCGTAAGGTCTCTTTCACAATGCATTGCAAATAAGGAAGACGTCCCACATCCTTTTCTTCTATCGTCTTATTTTCATCACCAACAACTTGTGCGAGTTCAGCTTTAGCTCTTTTCATTGTTTCTGGGTTCTTCATCAGCTCTAGCATTGCCCATTCTAACACAGCCGAACTTGAATCACTTCCTGAAACAAAAATATCCTGCACTACATATACATTTTTAGTAACTAAACGCAACAAATATATATTTCCATGCATGCCAAAATTAATAATAATAATTTTAGAAAAAAAATAATAACCTGGTACACAAAACATCACACAATTACCTCAAGGGATGGGGTGTGAGGTAGACCTTCTATTCTGATGCAATCATGCAATAGTTATTTTGAGGCCAACTGCTTTAGGCCTCAAAAATAAGTAATTAATGTTTGTGTGGTTATAAATCATTTCATTAGAGATAAAATAGACATTTTAAAGTTAAATTATTAATTACTTAATATAGTAATGTTCAACTTTTTTTAGATCGACAAAAAAAGAAAAATGAATCATAAAAGCTGGACACCAGATGAGTAAACACTAGGAAAAAAAAACAATAATTAAACATGATAGATTATTATTTACCAGACACAGGTGTTGGATCTGATTTCTGTCCATTAATATTGCATTGACATCTCCTTTTTTTTCTTCTTCACTTATATTTAACAAAACATCAAGAAAATCATTGGTGCTCCGTACAGTAGTACTAATGTTTCTTTGCTCCAACCTTTGGTCAATAAAACCCCTGAAAATCCGTAATAATTTCTCATAAGTTGTAAAACTGTTTTTGTTTATCCGTTGTGGATCTATCCCTTTAAGAAGAGGAAAATAATCCACCATGTTGAGTTTTCCAATAAGATAAGTGATGTAACGTATGACATGCTTGAATTTTTTGACTGGATCAGCATAAATGTCTACTAAATCCTCTGAGAAAATTGTATTTGACCAAATATTTACCAACGTATCCGAAGCAACTTGACCAATGTCTACAGGGGTACCGTATTGGCTACACTGACGACAATACGCAATAAACTCTTCGATCTTCCGGGCCCGCAAATGCTGGCTCGCATCAAGCCTATTAGGGCTAAAGATGCTTGAATGCAGTAGCTTCCGGAGGTATTTCCGGCGGCTACTGCTGGCTGGAAGAAAAATAACAGAGAATTGATTGTGGCCATGGGCGTGGAGTGCATCCTTGTCGATTTTGCTGGATAAGGCTAAATCTTGCTTTATGAAGGCTTCTTTAGCCACAAGTGATGAAGATATAACTATTGTGGTTTTTTGGCCCAATTTAAGGGTCATTATTGGCCCATACTTGTGAGCCAGCCTCCAAAAGGATGTGTGGGGTTGATCACCACCAAGTATTAAGTTATGGAGATTTCCAATAAATGGTAGGGAGAATGGTCCTGGTGGAAGTAGTATTTTCTTCTTGTTATAAAAACGGATGACATGGATCAAAGTCCAACCAAGTACTACTACTACTCCACAACCTAAAAGGCCATAGTAATCCATGATGATTGATAAAAACATCATGCGTGAAATAAACTACTCCATACCTAGCTAGCTAAACATATATAAAGTGTCTTTTGGACATGATAGAGACTTGACTTAATTAATTAGTTGATGTGACACGCAGTGGCGGAGCCAGAATTTTCAATAAGGGGTTCAAAATCTAACATAATAGACACACGAAGTAGTTGAAGAGGGTTCGACATCTATTATATATATACCTAAAAAATTATTTTAATCATATATAAATCATATAATTTTTCGCCGAAGGGGTTCAGATGAATCTCTCATTGTAAGGTGGCTCCGCCACTGGTGACACATATAATTTGACTTGATACAAAATTTAAGAAATGTGGGATCTTAAATGTATAATCATAACATTTGTATAGGCTATTATTTTAAAAACTTATGATCATGATGAACCAATCGTAACAATTATTTACAACAAAAAATATAGGTCCAAGTAACACAAAGTCTCATTTCTCCATTCATTCGACTACATGTGTTCAGCAAATCATTTTATAGCATCAATCAAGCAATTGGATATGTTAGGGGAATCCAATGCAATATCTTAACCAAATTTATCTTCTTCGCATTTTACGCTGATCATTTTCAAGAACTTGTACAACAGTACTCATTGCAGTGGGTTTTAGCAAGGCGTGAATGAGAAATAAGAAGGTAAAAATGGAAAATGTGGGGGAATCAATTTTTGGAGGAAAAATGAAGTCATTTCAAATGGAAATTAAAGTCTTAGAAGATGAAAAGTCATTTCTCTCATATTGGTAGAAGAAAGGAGAATTGTTGTGCTTATATTAGGAAACACTTCCATTAGTTCTTAAAGGGTTAAGAAGAAGGTATCCCATCGCGCCGTCATCGTTGTTCGCTCGGCTTTGAATTTGGATTTGGCAAATGATTGATTGATAATATTTTTGGACAAAATTCATTTAATCAATCTCATTAATTGATTTTCTTTCTCTTATAAATTAATTCAGAATATTAATTCATTAACATAATTAATTTCACGTATCGAAATTATTTGAAATTCACGCATAATGGTAAAGTCGTTCTGAAGGAACATGTTCCTTCCGAAAAGACGTTATTTTTCCAAAAGATACAACATTCTGGAAAGACATGTCTGAACAGAAGCGTTCACATAATTGTCCGAACAGACGCGTTCCTTGCTGCAAGTGGCTATAAATAGAGTATTTTTCCGTTTTTTAACATTGAAATTTTTTCCTCTCTGCATATGTTTTCTTACAAAAACAAAATTGTTGATCGACTGAGTCTGTGTGTGCTCTCGTTCCTATTCTTGCGTTCGCTGAAAGTAGTGAAATTTGAGGTACCACTGCTTCTCTAATAGTTAATCCGTTTTATCTTGGGAGGAATTAATATGTAACCTCGAGTACTTGAGGGGATTAAATTTCTTAAGGAAACACAGTGGCTTCTGTGAACTCAAATTATTATTTTCTGTCTGTTTCATTTTTTTTTTTCTATTTCTGTTTTTTTTCCTAACCTGATGAATACAGGAGATAACAATAACTTGTATAAAATACTCATTCCTTAATATAGGGTGAAAATGTTTTCTTTGATTTAAAACCATCATTAAGATTTGGTGAGTTCTTTTAAAGAAAGATTTATTTGAAATTTCCTCACACAAACTCCATCTCTAGCGACCAAAATTGTCCCAGAAATATTTCTTTTGTAAACTTTAGATTAAAAAAGTACACGTTTCTACTTTATCTTTACTATATTTCATATATATGTTTATCCTTATTATAACTTATCTGAATAATGTGATGAAATTAAGAGTATTCTTTGACATGAAATCATCATGGTAATTGAAAATTATTTATTGTATTTTGATATTGGAAATCCATGACCCTATGACATGGTTGAAAGGATTATGGATATGATTAAATGCTTGTAGAATCAATGATTGATCAAGATAAAATCTTTCAATTCTTGGTATGGAAAAGGGTCATATTTGCCCCTGTATTCTTAGAAAAGGGTCATATTTATCCTTCGTTATACTTTTTTGATATATTTGCCCTTGCCATCCAACTTTGAGGCCATATTTACCCTTCATTCGTTAAATCTCCATATTCCCACATAAATTACCTATGTCGCGCCTACATGGATTTTATTTCCTCGTAAATAAATCTAAAACATTATTTAAATTTTAACTGCCCACAATTTTGTTAAACTTCCATTGATTAATTTGGAAGTTTGGAGAGGAATACTAGAGAACATAGAAGTTTAGAGATGGCAATCTGTTTCGTCTCTCCACCACCAAATAGGTCTGATCAAATCAGATTCACCAAATAAATATATCTTCGAACAACATTAAATAATCTAGATATAGAGAAGTTTTCTAGTAGTTGCCTCGAATTCAGTCTCATCTCATCCCCGTTTCTGTTGGAAAACATATATGCACAGTGAAAGCATATCAGAATCTTTCTACTTACATGAATAATAGATAACCAATAATCGTTTATGCTAGGTCACATAATCATGCTAGAACACATAAACATACTGAAATTTAATTCGATAAATACCTCTTGAAGCGTGAACAGATACCTTCAAGCGAATCCCCAAGTTAGACAGACCTTCAAGTGAATCTACAAGATAGCTATGGTCTTCTACAGTGATCCCAAGTTCACATCTGAACTCTCTCAATACTTGGGTGGGCAAGTATCGAATAGAAAACTAATCAATCTAGGGCAAGAAGAATCCCTAATTATAGAGATTTCTTCACAGTCCAAAGAGGAGAACCAAACACACGTTATTTTCTTCAACCGAAAAATACACGCTAGTTTTCTTTTTATAAGAAAACTAACGCCTCTCCCCTTTTCCCTTTAGAATTAGGATTCTGAGTTCTAGTTAAATATGTGCACTGGAGGGACCACAAAATTAATTACTGAGGCTTCCTATTATGGAAATATTTCCAAATAATTAATTTGAATTATTCTTACCATAATAAATTACAAATCATTCCACTAAAAATTCGTAATTGCACTCCTCTATTTATATTTCGTAATTCCCCATTAAACACTTATGTAATTCCCCATGTTAAGATTTCAGATACTAATCAATAAATTAAATTACTGACGAATTTAACTTAATGATTAATTTCCTTTAGAGCACTACTTAACTTATTTCATGTGTCGGATTCATAAATCCACTTGTAAGGTTTGACACGATGAAAGCTTATAAGTTTCTCAAAAAGGCATATCAATCAATCTCTATAACGAGACATGGATTTCATCAACTAACTTATTATTTCACCAATATATATTATTATCATCCAACTTACCAGGCATATTGACCCATCTCAGAATCTCACCTTTTAATAAATCAAAACGATAATTAATATATACAGATCATAATAGGTATATCAGGATTAAGAATATAAGTACATTTAATAGTTTAGAGAATATGTTTTGTCAGTCAGTCTAAAACAACTATCTCTACTCGGTCCCGTTCAATACATACAAAATGCACTAGCACAAGAAGTTGGAACTATACCGTTCCCATAATCAAGATAAATTACCTATAATCTTGTGCTACAATCGTACCAATGGCATGTCCAATTTCCATCCTAGATTGTGAACAAAAACTTTATACTTATAAGAACCGATGATTTAATCCTCTGTGTATAAGCTAAAACTCTACACACTAAATCATCTACTATATAAGTAAATAGACACCATAAACGAATATATGATCTATTAAAATTGAGCAAATATTTATTCTATAATAAATATTATTTCTTAACACATGGTTAATAGTATATATCCCAACAGTTTCTCCATCAATAACCACCGCGTAATAATCATGTAGCCACCAGAAACCAACTTGAATCCTCCATCTCCATTGTTGAACTTCACTTCACCTTCTCCACCGTCTGAAACAATCGAAAAAACAGAGCACGTGTAGATTGTTTATAAAATTTGTACCTATTTTTTTAATCAATTCGAGATTAAAGATGAAAGTTGGTTGTACTTAACAAAAAATTATTGGATTAAATGTTAAAATTTGTATTAATTCTTAATCTTATTGTTGTATGATGTGAAAAAGGATATATATAATTTTCTATGTTTGTTGTATAAAACGCCCATGGAGAAAAATTAAGCAGAGGAATCAAAGTTGGATTTATTTTGGTCAGTGGAAAGGATTTAATCGTGTGGGCTGAGTTAAAACAATTTAAATAATGTTTAGATTTAATTAGGAGAAAATAAACTCCACGTAGGTGCCACATAGGTAAATTTATGTGGGAATAAGGAGATTTAAAGGATGAAGGGTAAATATGGCCTCAAAGTTAGATGACAAGGACAAATATTTCAAAAAAGTATAACAAAGGATAAATATGACCCTTTTCTAAGAGTACAGGGGCAAATATGACTCTTTTCCATTCTTGGTAATGAGTTTAAGCTCAATGTTGTCATTAATTATAAATGACTTATTAAGACCTTGAACAAAAAGTCACAATCTTTCGGAAATGTCACAATCTTTTGGAAAGATTACAACATTTCATAAAAGTCGCAACTCTTCATAAAAGTTGTAACTCTTCATTTTCCATTGACACCTTTTAAAACCCAACAAAAACAAACAATGGTGGAATTTCCACATATCTGCAAAGGTTGTCTTCCTTATTTTAGTTCCCTCCTTTGCTAGTGCATCTGCCACTAATTGATTTTCCTCCCAAAAAATATGTAGGATGGGGGGTGTTCCCCAGACACCGTAAAAGCTCTCTGCAATCATGAATACTGTTAGTGTACGCAGGGTGGTTCGAGGAGATAAAACTTATAGCTTCTTAATTTACAATCTATAGGCTTATCTCCAAATGAAAGAGTTCATCTTCTAACGCTAATTTCATGCCACGTAATAGTGCTATTAGTTGTGCCTTTATGCTATTAGTTTCAAACAAGTTACTCATGTAGCCGACTATCCAATTCCCACCTAAATTTAAACATAAATGTGTGAACTCACAAACGAAGTATATATAATGCAATGATGATACGGTGCACCTCTTTGTGAGGTTAGAAATTTAAATCTGATATCTATGTTGTTTTGTTTTTCTTTCTAAAATTAGGTAGCACCTCTCTAAATATACTTGTTTTTTTGTGTCAAGTATATTGAGAAAAATATGCAAAGTTGGTGATATTGTAGTCCTAAAATAAACAAAAATGATATTATTAGGTAATTTCCCAAACATGGGTGACTATATATATAAGAATTAATTTTTGCCCTATAATTTTAGGATTTTAACAATTTTTAGTGATAATAACCAAAGTATCAAACCAATCAAATATATATATTTCAAATCCATTTTTTCGTAATAGTGCACCCATTATCTTGAAATTCAGAATATGCCTTTTCTTCATATATTTTTTGTGTTCTTGATATATATTTTCCAAACATATATACCATTATTGAGTTGGTTTAGAACACCAGACAACGAATTCTCTTATGGGAAGCAAAAGAAGTTTTGCCATATGCATAAGTGCACACTTGGTCGATCTTTTAAATTTTTTACTACGTAGTGTTGCTGTAAAAAGCTTTACAAAAATATAACCTTATCATACTCTTGATTTCAAACCTATAAAGTTGGAAAAACTATTGGCATCAAGGCTTCAAAGGATGCATGTGGAATTAAACTAATTGTACAAAGATCTTCAGCCAAAACAAAATGTTTAAAATTTCTAAACATATGCATGAATTATTTAAACTGTTTCAAGAACAATAAGACAAGACCAACATAATGTTTCCTCTAACTAGTCCATTTCTAGAGCAAGGGTGGATCTAGCCTTATACCTACAGCTTCACGTGAACCCAATAGCTTATGCTCAAACTCTTTAAATACTTGGTTATGAACCCAGGGATTTATCTTGAGGTTGTTGTAGTAATTAATCCATAAACTTCAAATTCAGGATCCACCTCTCTGACTAGAGTGATGAGAAAATGGGGACACCTGGTAAGGTAGTTCCAGCGTCAACGATGAAGACATTGCCTGAAACATATTCTGAAGAATCATGGATTAAGTACCTCACCACTGATATTAAAGCCGGATCTGTGGTTCCAAAAGTTCTAAGAGGAACAGTTCGCCTAGTAACATTAGGGAGCCATTTCTTTTGCATAAGGCTTTCTGTTATCTCAGATTTGAAAACTCCAGGTGCTATTGAATTCACTCTTATATTGTCTATTCCCAATTCAAGGGCCATCATCTGCCATTCATATATAATAGCTTGGAAAAATTAATTAATCTGTCTCAAAGTACAGAATCCATAAATCTGTCTCTAAAAGTATGTACCTTAGTGAGCATGTCAAGAGCCATCTTTGAAGAAGCGTAAGCGAGAGTCCCTGCTATAATTACCCGATTTAGACCAGCGATTGAAGAGGTATTAATAACAGATCCTCCACCCTGTTTAGCATCACGCATACGTCTACATACATATTTGGACACCAACCATGCCCCTTTTAGATTCGTGTTAAAGGTATGGTCCCACTCCTCCTCTGGCAATTCCAGTGAAGAATGCACATTACCTGTACATTATCCAAATCAGGCAACAACTAATTTTACATAATCAAAATAAGAATTTCCTGCACCACAACATGTAGCAGGGTACCAGTGAGGCCAGCATTGTTAACCAAGGCATCGATGCGGCCAAAAGCATCCCAAGCTAAATGTACGGCGGTCTCAATGGCAGCACCATCAGCGGTAACATCAAGCTGGACCACAATTGCACGCCCGGGGACCTTTGAATTAATCTCATCACAGAGAGATTTCAGTCTGTCAATACGACGGGCAGCAGCAATGATGCTGCAACCGGCGTTGGCTAAGTTGAGACAGAACTCTCTCCCAATTCCTGAAGACGCTCCTGTCACCATCACTACCTTTCCGTTCAGGTCTTTCCACGGCTCCATTATTAAATTTAGATGGTAATAATATGAGAGTTATATATACAGAGTTTTTCCTTTTCTATTATAAACTTCCTTCTTTCTTTCTTTATAGTACCAGAGTGGATCTATCTAACTTGGCCACCCAAGCTATCCAAATTCACGATTTAAATTTTATGAGTTTAATATTTAAAATTCTTACTATTGAAATTCATTATATCTTTGAAATTATGGGTTTATATCTCAAAATCAGTTCCCAACAACCCCAAAATTTTAGATATTAAATTCTCTTGATCATTTAATTTTTTTGATATATAATTCATGCTTGCGCTACGTCGAATTTAAAACTAAAAGATAAGCAACAAAGAAGAAGAGAGCAGAGGAATAGTAGATAAAGATGAAGGAGGATTATTGTAATTTTTTTATTAAGTTTCTTGAAAATAGCTAAATATTATACGTGTATATACAATTTTCACGAGGAAGTTATATGTATAATTTGATTATATATATAATTTGTTATTTTCTTAAAGAGTAATTGATTTGGTAGTGTAATGATGGAGTATGAAAAAGAATTCCTATATAGTTTATACCTCTGGCCTACCCTTATATATATGCACCTGATTTGACGTTACAAACTGTTAAGTTGCTCTCAAATACATTATCAGTTTGCTATATTTAAACGACAAAAAATGGACATGGTAAATAATCGAAAATAAGAGAACAGAGTCATTAATTTCATGAATTCGTAATTTGAAACTTTCTCTCATGGCTGAGAATGAAGTTTCGCAAATCGTCTCGAGCCAATGATAACGATGATTTATCGGAGAAAGGGAGAGGAAGCGCAACATCATTAAGTTTGAATTTGGAAAGAATTTGAAAGAATCGTCCATGGAAGAAAAGAAGAAGAAAAATTATCATCAACGAAAAAGAGGAAAAAATATGCTAATTTGAGATTATACACTAATTTGGAGAGAAAAAAGAGGAAAGATAGATAATTGATAAATACAATACCTAAAATTAAGCCTAGAAATACACTAATTGAACAATATACTTTTAAATTGAAAAATACTATTAAATAGATATTATAGTTGCAAATTATAATTTATTAAATTATAGTTATATAGAATATATAATAGCATATATTATTAGTTTTTCTAATATTTTATTGTTTACGGGTCCGTCTAAGCTATTTTTTTGGTTTCTTAAGTAAATGTATCCCCGGTAAAAGAATCTCGACTAAAATGATCGCATGAATATATAATATTTATTGATATTATATAAATAGTACTCTCTTTGTCCCTAATTAGTTGTCCACTTTTCATTTTATAGTTGTCCCTAATTATTTGTCCATTTTGACAAATCAAGAAAGGACAAAATAATTTTACCTATTATACCCTCAATTAGTTATTTTGAAAAAGGTACAATTTCTTGAAAATCTTAAATTTTTAATCCATCCACTTCATAATTAATAGGGGTAAAATGGTAAACCCACTATGTCAATAATTGTTTTCTTAATAGGTGTGTCAATTCAAAAGTGGACAAGTAATTAGGGACAGATGGAGTATAAAACTGTGAATTATATAATATATAGCTATATATCAAAAATGTATATATACATTGCACAATTCATTTTCCTTTACGAGCTAATTTTTTTCCAATCCCTACCAGTTCAAATTTATCCCAAGTAGTATGTTTCAAATCTTTAGTTATATAATTCATTTGAAACATTAACATTCGCACATGGTTGAGTTTTAAAATTTGAGCTTCAAACACTTCAACAACAAATTGCAATGGACATCAACTCAAATCTTCTTCTAAACAACTCAATTTTTTTATATGAGCTCCTTACTTTTAGATAGTGGCCTAAGCGCTAAGAAGTGAACATCATGCTACTCAGACTATATGATTAACACATGCAAGTTGAACCTTAACTTTCGGAGTTCGAAAGAGAAGGGGAAGAAGTGGGGTAGAGAAATTAGGGAGAGGGAGGTCATTCAGAACCCGCTGGCTCCAGAACGGGGGGGCGGCTCCAGAGACCCTGCCGTAGGTGCTAGCATCGACATAAATTGCCCACCCCGCTCCTGATCAAAAAGAGCGTGCGAGACTTCGAAGGGACATTCACACTTTGATTCGTGAGCAACTTCACGAGAACATTGTGAAAGGGGGAAATGGCGGCTGTCCGTGCACTTTCCCGAAATGACAGAAATATAGTCCAGTGCCGCGAAGGCGATAATGTCTTACGATCTGGAGATCTCCGTTCAACGCAGTGATGTTTCGAATCTTTTTATAAAATAATTCATTCGAAACATTCACGTTTGTGGTTGGTCGAATTTTAAAATTTGAGCTTCAAACACTTGAAGAGTAGATTTCAATGGACACCAACTCAAATATTTTTTTATACAACTTAGATTTTTTATATGAGCTCCTCTCGAGATCTCGATTCTTTGGTATATTGTTCATCAGAGTAGCTATGCAGGAAGAAGCAGAAGATTTGACCAGCATTGTTGGAGAAAACAGAGTGCTCTGGCTTCTGAGTATTGCAAAACTAATTTTGCCAAATTGTTGTATAGTACAATACAATCAAATCAAATAGGAAAGTTGTTCTTTGAGGATAATAAATAATACAGCCTTATCAAACTATAATTTCAACCACACAATATAATACTACTATACAATTTGATATAAAAAGAAACATACTAGCATGATAGGAAACAACAATTCCAATAAAAATATAAATGAACCTAAATTAAAATACTTACCATGACTCATCCTTCAAATTTAACCAAGTCCATTTTTTTCATTTGTCTTTCAAAGTTTGTTTTTGTACCAAAAAATACCTTTACCTTTAGATCCTTCATCTTTCTCCACATAGATGCACTCCTTTGAATCCCTCCATATGGCCTTATAAATTGGGGTACCATCAAATTGATAGTATTCTCCTAGTAATGGCTTGATAGCTTTGGTTGCCTCCATTGCATGGTAATGTGGGATAGTTGAGAATAGATGGTGCAAAACATGAGTATCTGTTATGTTGTGGAAGACCTTATTCAGTACACCAAAGTCTCTGTCTACCGTAGCTAGAGCTCCCCTTAGCCAATCCCACTCAAATGAATCATAATGTGGTAACAAAGAGTGAGTATGGTGCAAAAAAGTGATTAATACTATGAAGCCGCTCATAATTTGGAGGGGTACCCCATAGATGCATACAAACCAAGCTAGACCTTGTGCCAAAACAATGCGATACGACACATAAGCAGATGCAATCACTCCTACATCAGAAATGTAAATTTGTAGCCTCTCGCGGTCATTGAAAATTGGCCCATGTGGATCATAGTGACTTGCATAGCGACCATAAGATCTTCCTGAAGCATTGAAGACCAAGTACAAAGGCCACCCAAAAGTGAGGGTGCAAGAAAGTGCGAGTACTCTTCCTAGTGGATTGTTCAAATAATTAGAGAACCATCTTAGTTCGGATTTAAGCCTGGGCACGTACACTTCATCGTGCTCAATGGAACTAGTATTGGAGTGATGACGCCGATGACTATATTTCCATGAGAAGTATGGTGTTAAAAGTACAGAGTGGAGGATAAAACCAATAACGTCATTTACCAACTGGTAATCACTGAAGGCATGGTGGCCACATTCACGACCAATCATCCATATTCCAGTGAAAACACAACCTTGAATGATCCAATAAATAGGCCATGCTAGGTAATAATATGGATATGGAAGGAAGCAGAAGTAAGTGGTTGCAATATAGTAAAAAAGGGAGACAAGTATGAGATCTTGAACGAGATAAGAGAAGGAGCGAATGAGAGATCGTTGAAAGCAGTGAGGAGGGATGACCTTCTTGATATCACCAATTGTAAAAGGTGGCTTTGAAAATGACATTCTTTGGAGATGATTAATTTTCTTTTGTTCAGTTTTAGTTGTTGGATTAGACATATTTCCACAGGATCCCATTTCTGCAACAATTCAACCACTTGAGCATTTAGTAGAACATCATACAAGTTACAACAAGTATGATCATACAATAAATGCTGGTAAGTAAACATAAATTTTTGGTGAAGAAAGAAATTAACTCACCATTCAACAGAGACCTTCTTTTAGCATGAACTGAAAGCTGGATATTTCTCTCTCCCACTTCCTCTCTTCTTTATAGAGACAGAGAAAAAGAGGCTAAAGGTTTGGCCAACTAGGTATGCACAAAAGCTACAAGTCCGGATATGAGTTTTGGTCAAATTTAGTAGCTTTTATTCAAATAGTAGTATATTTGTATTAGAATATCCATTAAATATATATAAATATCAAATTTAGAATTTAATTATTGACACTTAAAGAGTTGAAGTTATCATTGTATAAAATTGAAATTCTAAATTCGTCTACATCCAAAAAAGAGGCAGGTTTATTTTTGTCCATGTGCTTTAGATTCAAGCTAATTTTAATGATTTACAGCTACACAATTTTCTATCATTCATTTTAGATCACAAGTTTTAAAAGTCTTTTTTTTTCTTTCTTAAACTCATGCCGAGTCAAACTACCTCACATAAAATGTAACGGAGGGAGTACTAAATATTATATTTAAAGAATGATGTAGTAAAATTGTCGTTTTATTTGATTTCTTAAGGAATGTGCCAAGTCGATAATAAATAACTAAAAATGAACGGAGGGAGTTAAGGATGTCAAGTGTGTCGGTTGAGCTGAAATTGAACAAATTAAAATGGGTTGAATTTAACATATTGTTATTTGTAACCACAATTTGAACTCCAACTCAAGAATTTAAAAAAAAAAAAAAGTTCTTGATTTTGAAGTGGAAAGTCATCAAATATTATACCAACCAAATAAACATATATTTAAGAAGACTCACTTAACATGTATTCTGTGGGGGAAAAATATATAGTTTAATTTCTTTCGGTTATTTTGATCGTAGAAAATCAAAATTTTAATTTACAAATGGAAAGAATGGATAGATAAAATCTAGAAGTTATAACATAGACGATAATTAATACATTCAATATGGAAATATACATTGCATCTAGTGTTTTAAAAGTTGGGGTGTGAGGCGAGGCGTTTTATTTAGTATAATGCGAGACGTAAGCCTCGAGAAATGGGGGCGTAAGCCCTATGGATCTTTAAATTTTTAATTTACAATATAGTATAATAATATAATAACACAAAATTATAAAAATACATCAATAGTTTGAGATAATTACAAACAAGATTAAGGAAACTCGTAGAAAATAAAACTTCTAACATGATTATACTAGTGTATAAATAATCTATTATCTTAACTTTCTAATAATAAAAGAATCATTATTTCTAAAATTTTTTATTATTATACTATACAATTTACCCCTCTAAAAGAAAATAATCAATAAAACTTACTACTATTATAATAAAAACATCACTCTATCATGAATAAAAATAAAATTACTTTCAAATAGCTAAATAAAATTTGATAATTTTGAGACATATGACAAAATCATGAAGACCAATGATAAGTGAAAAAGTAAAATTTCGCTATGTATTTTCATAAGAAATGTTACGTACTAAATAATTACCTTCATAATGTTACCAAATACTAAAGATGCGATACTAAACTTGTTATTTGGGTTACTCTCAATCTTCTTATCTCTATAGATTAAAAACTTATTAAGTATCATTCATTTATTCAAGAATTACGAGGGTCAACAATGTTAACTAAAGATTTTAACACGTAATTTGTGTAAGATCTGTTAGGTGAGCCCCGAGCGTTGGGCGTATAGTCGGGCGCTTAGGGCGTAAGTCTTACAGAACTAAGTCCCGCTTTGAGTCTCGGGGCATTTTGCTAGAGCCCCGCCCTAGGGCGAGTCCCAACAGAGTCTTTTAAAACACTGATTGCATCACTGCAAATAAAGAGTTTGAAAATGAGTTGAATTGAAGATTAAATTGGGCTCAATTGAAGATCATTTTAAAATAGGTTAATGTTTAAATGGGTTGAGATTGACCCAATTCAAATTATTTTAAGACCAACCATAAAATTTTGGGTAGATTGGACGAATTACGTAGATTTGAGATCATTTTGATAACCCTAAAGAGGGTAACTAACAAAGAAAATTTTAAAAATAGCTAAGACTAGAAACATAATCAAGCTCCTTAGATATAGTTTCCTTAATTACAATATGTAGCTACATGTTAGAAGGAGGAGTGAGGTGAGCGAAGATTGGGAGAGGAAAGAGAAAGATGAGCGAGACTTGGGAGGAGGATGGTCGTCTCAACAAGTTTGAGGACCTAAAGCTAAACCTCATCGAGAGACCTTATTTTTTTTGTTGTCATATGTAAATTGAATAACTATAACATACTCAATGTAATCCTACAAGTGAAGTCTCGAAAAGGTAAGATGTATGCAGACTTATGAAGTAAGAATGTAAATAATAAAAAAATTCAATTAAAATATAATATAAAGTTAAAATAATAAAACTTATAATTTAAAAGTTGATATAATGATATTGAAATAATATTGATCTGTTGATGTGCTTTGAAATTTAAGGAATACACTAAAAAATAAATTTGATCTTTTTATAAACACACAACAATAGTTTTTGCATAACATAAAAGATTTGTCCATTTGGTGGAATCTAGATCATTCAATAATGGGATAATAAGAAAGATAAATGTTATAATAATAATGCGGGTTCATGATAATTGTCAAGACATACATACTAATTCATATAGAAAAAAACATAAAGTGACACCTGAAGTTGTCCCGGATTTTTAAAAAGACACCTTAACTATGCGGACATCCTATTACCCCTAAAGAATCTTGAGCTGATATTATTACATTACTTTTGTCCACTTGGCATAGAGAGTGTATGCACTTTCTTAAAAAGCGTGAGCAACCTAAAATAATGAATATAATTCTATTTTTACAAGTATTTTGTTATAAAATATATTTTTTTTGTTTTTCTTATTATTTTTAACTTTTAATCCTTATTTTTTTTTCTTTCTTGTTTCTTCTTAAAAAATTCATTGTCATTTCCATTGAAGCTTCTCACTTTCAATGTCACCATTTTTACCACAACTCTATCTTCCATTTTTACTACTATTAGTTTAACTCTCTTCAATTTTAAAACTATATCTAATTTTTTTTACATTTCGAACAATTTGATAAACCCATTAGATTTCAAGATGATTAGTAGGTATCATTGAGTTTTTTTTAATCCCAATTTCAATCGAGCTCTTTCAATTTTCGGGAAATTCATTGATTTCAAAATTATCATTTCTAATTTTGAAGTTATATGAAAATGAGATAAATTAACTGATGATACCTTCAAAATTTTGATTTTTCTTAGAAAAATAATTAATTTTTTATCAATAACTTATAAAAAAAAACATTGGAAAAAAGGAATTTGGCTGAAGGAGAAAAAGAAAAGAAAGAAAATGGAGGACGGGCTCAACTTGACGTGGGGGTGGGGGTGGGAGGTGTAGTTTGAAATGAAGTAGAATTTAAGATGAAATCAATAAATTAATATGTGCCACGTACTGATTGGTGTGTGATAACACTTGCTTTTAAAATCAGGGACTCATTGAAAAATGATACGATAATATCAGTTCGAAATTGTTTAGGGGTAATAGAACGTCAGTATAGTTAAATGTATTTTTGGAAATTCAAGACAACTTTATGTGTCACTTTATGTTTTTTCTCTTTCATATATAGAGGTAACAATGTAAGAAAGAATGCTACAATTAACTAATCATTATTCCATATAAATATTGGGGGCTCTAAAAAAATTGGGGCCCAAAAAAATGCTTTAGTGGTCTTATAACCGAGACAGCCTTGGCAGGAGAGAAACAAAATTAATTTTGTATATCTAATAAGTAATTTATCACAAATATAATTGATTTATCTCAATGAGTACAATTATATCAAAGATTATTATATTAATTTCATTGATCTAAAATAATTGTATCAAGTATACATATCAAATCTTTACCTTGTTATATAAACTTTCGTAATTAATAAGCATAGGTTAGAGTAGTTGAGCATTAAACTAACACGACTGTGGTGTCGTTGCGGGGATCTCTCCTCACCATCGAGTCGATACACAAGGAGAAGGGGCAGCTCTCCATTCTCACATTACCCCTGAAAACACATTGAAGCCTTTTCTTTTTGCTCGGAAAAGGACATATCTTCGACGCCATTAACTCCGCCATCCATCGGTTGAAGGACATCCTTTTGCTCTTTCCTTTCATCGTAAGCTCTTTATCCCTTTCACATTTCAATTCTCTCGCCTAGTTGCATGCTTTTGTTTAAGATATATGCCTACGGTTTTGCAGATCTGTTGTATTCCCATTGATTTGTCCAATTCATTGGTTTATTTTGTTTCCTGTTAGATGATTAATTTGAGTGATTGTCTAGTTACTTTCGTTGGACAAATCTGGGTTTTTTTTAGCTTATTCGATTGAATAAGAAGGATTATCATAAAATTGAGATCCATATATAAGTTTACGTCCATTTGGAATAGTGGAGTTTAATTTTTACTCTGGATTGAGGTGCAGTGAATAGTGAGCTTGAAAACGTTTGCATTACTACAAACTCTAACTAGGGCATATCGTTGTAAGGAAAGGAAGTGAGACACTTATTCGAATCGAATTGCTGAAACTACTATAACTCCTATGTTTTCTGCTTTAAGAGAAGCCTTCTAGTTAGTTTTAAAGAGTTGAAGAAAGAGATGGCATTTTCTAAAGATAGTTGTTGAGGAAGCGATTTCTAACTGGGATTGAGGCACACGGACAGTGAGTTACAACTTTGTGAATTATACCTGCTCAGTTGGGAAGGGATTTAAAGTATTCAGTTTTTTTTTTTTTGAAGAATAAGTATATCACGCTTAATTGCAATTATGGACCAGAAACAGGTCTTGGTCTGTTAATTCTAGAGATTTGATTCAATCAACTTTTGGACAAGGTGAATAACATAGTTGCGTTCACAATAATACAGGATGGTCAATGATTGTAGGAGATATAACTTTATTGAGAAAGTACAGATAGATGAATGAGAATTGAGAATATGTTGGGGCTGAGGAAATTAAGGATGGAATAGTACAATTTTACAAGCATTTATACATGGAAAGGGGGAATTTGGAGACTGACATTGGACGGAATCTCATTTAGGAGTATCACCTTGATGGAAATAGATACTTTGGAGAAAAGTGAAGAGGAGGTAGAAATGCAGATCACATCACTATGATGCTCTTCATTACTAGGTAATTGTTAGTGACATGGCATGTAATATTTAGACCACTAACCACTTCTATCACGCATGGACTTTTGAGAAGAGTTTCACCTCTTCTTTCATCGTGCTCATCCCAAGAAGAATGAAGGTGAATAAAAGAATTCAAGCCCATTAGTCTTGTAGGGAGTGTATAAAATAATATACAAGGTTTTAGCTGGTAGGATGAAATTGGTAACTGATAATCTTATCTCAAATCTTAGAATGCCTTTGTTGGAGGAAGACAATTCATGATGCATCACTTACGGCAAATTATATGATTGATTTAAGGTATCCATCCTAGTGAATGGTACTCCATGAGGATTCTTTCGGAAGTTCGAGGGAATTAGACCAGGAGAACCCCTAACCATTACTATTTATTTTTTTTAATAGATGCTTTCAGTAGGCTTATAAACTAAGTTGATAGGATTCGGGTGTGGGCGTTAGATATGGGTGTGGATCTAGAGGTCGAATCCTTTATGATCTAAATTTTTCAGTAGGCTTATAGACTAAGTTGATAGGATTCAAGTGTGGGTGTTCGATATGTGTGTGGGTCTAGAGGTTGAATCCTTCCTGATCCAAATTTTTCGGAGGTATGGATTTAGTTAAGGATACGGGTGCAAGGATTCGGTTAATAAACCTCAAATATCTAAAATTAGAGTTATATGTCTCATGTTTGGTTGGTTACTTTGCTAAAATATTTTCTGTAAGAAAGCAAGTTCCTTAAAAATGAGAAATCTGACTTTCCTAATGGAAGAAGGGAACACAAGTTGACATTCCAAATTCATTGTTTCCTCCTCACTTACTTTTCAACACAACATTTTCCATGGAAAATATTTTCCTTCATACCAAACACATCCTATGTGGAAAATTAACAAGGTATTTCTTGGAGAAAATATTGATCAAGAGGTGGATTCCAGAAGGAGATATAAGGAAAAGGAATGACATAGAAATTTCTATATAAAAGACATTCCATTTTCTTCAATTTCACCTCACGCTTTATTTTAGTCGGGGCTCAAAGAGACTCGGACACCCGGTGCAAATCAAAAAAAAAAAAAAAAAAATTATAGAAATCATTGTATTTTTCTCAAATTTCTCCCTCAATTTTTGTCAAAGTACCAAAAATTGGATGACCATATCAGTTCCCACACCCACATGGTGTTGACGTACAGATGTAGCACTGAAACTGAAGGATTCGAGGTAGATGATAATAGGAGGGGTAATATGTCTATATCTCATCTATTATTTGTTGACAATACACTAGTCTCGTCCAAACTACAATAGAAGGAATCAATTGCAAGTTGGAGATTGGAGAGGATCGGCAATGAAAGGAAGGCGAAACCACCCCATCTCTTTTGGAGTATATGGAACGAGCAGAATAGGAGATTGTTTCATGATAGTGAAATTGCTGTACAAAGAATTAAAAGAACTTGTTTTTCACTTGTATTTTTGGGGTAAAGAAAAAATACCATGTATTATTTATTTTTCCGTAACTGTGGTGTCTAGGCCAGCTTGCTTTAACTTCAACTAACTTTACAGGATGTCTGTTATCCCCCACCAACACAACTACCAAAATAACTCTATCCTCTAAAACATAAATAGATATGAAGAAATCACCTACTCCAGACTTTGTTTTGTTTACCAAATTGCCCTTATTAGAGTCACTTTGGTGCTAATTTTTACTTTTTAGTAGACTTTTCTTCACCAACAAAAGTTAAATGCTTTACTTGGCTGATCATTAGAAAGGCATGCTTGACACATGAAATCTTGAGGAAGAAAAGAAAGATCATACTTCCGTGGTGCTCTTTATGTGGAAAGACGGGGGAAACTAACAGTCACCTATTCTTACATTGTACTTTCACAGCAGAAATATGGTCCATGTTTCTCAACTATTTAGAAGTGAAATGGACTATGCCCGAACATACAGCTGATTTACTTAGTTGTTGGATCAGGAGAGGAGGTAGCAAGAGACAGAAGACCTGGTGGAATTTGATTCCACATTGCATTTGGTGGATAGTGTGGAAGGAGAGGAATAGTAGGAATTTTGAAGATATATCCAATTCCATTCACAAGGTTAAATGGAATTGCATTGTATCTCTATATTTTTGGTGTAAAGAGATAGGATTAGAGGATTCAGATCAACTTTTAGAACTCTTAGGATCCTTGTAACTATTATGCTTTTTGTTCTTTTCTGAATTTTTTTAAAGGTCCCCAGCATATCCTTAATGCTGAAGAATACAATGTTTACCAATTCTCAAAAAATGAGGATGTTGCCATTTGTTAAATAAGGAAAAGTGACATTCTTTTTGGAATGGACTAAAAAGGAAAGGGTGTCACCATTCCACATAAATTGAGACAGAGGGAGTAGTATTTTTTGCCTTTGCTGGGATTTGAACTTGGTGTGGACTGTGGAGACAATGTAGGACTGAAGAGAAGTGACACCATGCTGTATTTGATGGTTAAAACTTGGGCGGAAGCCTATGTATGACTCAAGCAGAGTCACACACACTTATTGTACTTATTTTTTGACACCTACTTAGTGTTTATTAATGAAACTTTTTGACTTGTAAAAAAAATTCCATTTGCTGAAACATTCCACATGCATAGCCAAAATGCATCAGCACTATCTCACTATCTTTTCTAAAGAGCCTCAGAGTGTTGCCTGTTGTAGTATAAAACTGTCTTCGCAACACATTATGTGTTTAAAGAAAAGTGTGTGATCTGTTAATTGCTGCTGGCTAACCTCTTTTGTAGCACTCTTAATGCTTATTATGTTGAATTTATGTAGGTGCAGAAATTGTGTCGAGTTGCAAAAGATTCAGTGAATAAGCTATGGTTCTTGAAGTTAATATATCTTCACCTCATAGGAGGTCACAGCCACAGACTGCATTTTCAACTTCATCATCATTTAAAAGACAACAATCACGAGGTGATGAATTTGGGAGCTGTTCGACTCTACTTCAGCGCCACCGCTTCCTGTTAACTGCGCTTTCACTCCTAGCATGTCTCTGCACTATCTATCTCTACTTTGCAGTCACTCTAGGGGCTGTTGAATCATGTTCTGGCTTGAAAGGGACTCAAAAAGCAGCATGCTATGTAGAGCATGGAAAAACATCGATGGGTAAAGGAAAACTCAAGTTCTTCTAGCACATTGATAATTTTCTAGCTGAAAGCGTTTTGCTGAATGATTGCTCCTTTCCTTATGAGGGGCATATTCATGTAACTCAGTGTAACTATTCCTCACATGTTATTTCAGACCTGTGCACAATAGTTTGTTTATATATATCAAATTGCACAAATTTTGGTCCAGGAAACTATTTGACATCGGTGAATATTCTCTGTTGCTAAGGAATCGATGTGAATGTTTGAGTGGCATTTTCTTGTGACATACAGATTTAAATGATGATGTGGTGATGAATCAACTGGAAATGTAGCATTATAATGTGCAAATGTAAAGATATTTTGGATAGGTATCCTTTTCTGTACATGCATATGCAAACACTATTACAGTATTTGCAAATAATATACGTTCTGAAGTTGTTGAAATACCATTAAGGAGCAAACTGGGATAGATAAAGTCCTTCGACTCTTAACTATAGATTTTTAGATCATACTCATCGACTTAAAATCTGGAATCACCTGTAATGGTCGTGAGTTTACACTAGTGTTATTCTCCTCGGCATTTCCTCACAGTTAGGCTATAGCATTTTCTTTCTGAAATCCTCTTTTCTTTTCCCTTACCTTTTTCTTTCACCATTCACCAAAACAAAAAAACAATAACTAAACCACGCAGAGAGTCGAAGAAAAGAGGACAACTGAATCATATAAAGAACAAAATTGGACATTATATTGTTATGAAGCTGAGTAAACAAGTACTAAAAGAAGCATTCCTACACTACTCTCCTTTTAAATGCTGCTGGCGACGATTATGGAAGATAATGCAAACAGAGGATGCGACCAGCCCCATCAAGTAGCCAGCCATAGCTCCATAACTCACACATATAGGCCATTCCTACAATCACAGATTTTGCATACATCAGAACAAACAAACAGAGAAACCCAACATATCCAATTTACAGCCCGGATAGTTCTGCAGAATAGCAAATCAAAAGTACACAGACCACAACACGTAACAAAAGTTTTGCCAGCAAAGGTGGAAGGGGGTAGTCTAAATTTCATCGAACATTGGCTACACTGTTTAGTAATAAGGTAAAAGGTTGGCTACTTGCTCTAAAGAGGATACTTAAGTTAAGAACACTCATTCAATCAGTTCTCAAACTCAAGAAGTGAAAATCCCTGTAACAGAGTTTGCAATAGACTGGTGAAATTATCAGTCGAGAGCAGATGAATCATTACAAAGTTCACAAAAATACACAAGATAATGGAAACGAAAAGTTGAGAAAATTTCCAAACAGCAATAAGAAGGGACCACTTTATTTTTGATTAAACTATCACAATGCGCTTGAGTAATTCACACCTTTGGTATATCCTGATAAGTTACCAACAGATGAACAAAAGCAAGATGCAATTTCATACACAGTTTCTTTGTCTTAAATTTTCCACTTTTACTGTTCTTGTTTATGGTCCTTCACAATAACTTAGTCAGTTGTCGAAATTATGTAATTTTTATAGAGAGAGAACAAGTCAAAAAGAATGTCTTGGCAATGTCAAGGAGCTTGGATGCAGCTACAACTCAGTTTATAGCAAAGCATACATTAAGATTAGATAGATATAGACATCTAATTCCAATCTCCCACAAATTGATGCTTTTATTTTTTTGGTAATGAAAAAGAAAGCATCATCTTTTTAATATTTCTGCTCACTTACTATTGACATGTGTGATTAACTCATCTAATAGGAGAGAAACACTTCTATTTATTTAATTATACACACCTCCTCAAGTGCGGGCTTGATTGTCTTTTACATGGTCCAATCACGTAAAATACTTTATAATAATGGATGGTGGTGAGATGCGGACCTAGAGCTTCTGCCTGCTTTAATACTAAATTGAATTGCATGACCATCTCATCTAAAGGTCTAATGGAAGAGACACAGTTTTACTTAATTATATTTGCAGCAACGACAGACACCTAATAGATCAAAGCACAAAGATGGAACAAAATGAATTTTGGTTAGATCAGAATAAGGCAGGAGCTATTTTCTAACCATAATTCAAAGACACTCAAGACCTTGTCCAAAAAGTGGACTTACACCTAAGATTGCATTCACCAAAGGGGAGCATAATTGGAACACAATGCATATCTGATTTCCTCCCAAAGAAAGAAACCAAAGAATGTAAACTTCTTCACTCTCTCTCTCTCTCTCTCTCTATGGTTTATTTTAGAGTAGGAAAGCAGAGAAGCTTTCCAATATGTGCCTTTCTTTTTTAGACAAGAAAAGGACATGTTGGCGCCAAGAAGGCGCAATCCTATACAAGGAAACGGAAAAAGAGTGAATGCAAAAACAAATTATACAAAATGTACAATTCTTGGGGACGTGGGCTGTTCGGAAAAAAAGAACGAAGTACTATTGAGATTTCATGTTTGATCTACCAAACTGAAGTATGCTAAAGTGAAAGTTTAACTGATCTGAGTTTACAACTTCCTTGTTCAAAAGCTCAGACAAATAGGAATATAGAAGCTGATGGATTCGGTTTGCCTTGTAACTTTTATGTTTTTCTATCACGAAACAATTTGTTAGCAGACTTATCAAACTTTGGGCAGAAATAGATTTACTGAATCACATTATTGAATCTGAACCTCAAAAGATTCAGGATGAAAATGGACCATAACCGTTACTGCAACTGGACTGACTTATGGACTGATCATTAGATGTCCCAACTATCCAAGTTTACAGCAGCATACCTGCCATGGCCTTTCCCAATCAAGTGGCATAGGCCAAGCACCAAACCATGCTCCAATAACAGCTCCATAGGCTGGTATGCGGATCATATAGTCTATAAAACTAAATGCCCTGCAAGAATAATAAAACATGCATAAAATATATCACGGACACGGAGAGTTCTTAGATCAAGATATCAAATGCCCATTAATCAGGGAGACAGAAGTTACTTTGTTGAAGCAAATACTCTGTGCCAATGAGTCCAAGCTGAACCAAAAGCGCAAGCTGCCGGGACAAACTGCCAAGCAACATAATAGAAAACATGAAAAGGACAACTATCAAAGCCGCAAATACAAAAACAATTTTATATCAAACCCTGAAAATTTCTTTTCTTCTTCGAAGTATTTTAAGAAAACATAAAATAAAACCACAACAAAACTGGAGACTTATTTGATATATTTTAAGGAGATAACTTTTTCGCAGGAAATAGAAGTCCACAGTTTGGATACTCACAGTGAATGATGACATCAGAAGAGACCAATTCAGGGTCTTGGTAAAATACCTACAGGGAGATAACCAAGGACAAATTGGATTAAGGACCATTAAGTTTGCTCAGCAACATCAAAGTAATTTCTTTCTGATAAATAAAATCAAAGCAAATTAACAGCCATTAAGAATATTGATGGAGTAGTATAGGGAGAGGGAGAAGGATTCACATATGGTGTTCATGACCTGGAAAAACGTACGACAAATCTCCATGGGTGTTCTTTGGAGACGTTTGGAGGCTAAAGATGTACCCATAGATTACATTTGAGCAATTAAGGACATGTATAATGGAGCCAAGCTCTAAGCGAGGACAGTGGGAGGTGACTCAGATAACTTCCGAGTCGTGATGAGGCTGCACCAGGGATCAACTTAGTCCGTTTCAATTAGTGTTGGTGATGGATGTACTAACGCGGCATATTCAGGGAGATATGCCATAGTGTATGCTTTGCTGATGACATGATTTTGATTGATGAGACACATGACAGAGTTAACCATAGATTAGAGGTTTGGAGACGGACCTTGCGGTCTAAAGGGAGGGTTCAAATTGAGCAGGGATAAGACAAAATACTTGAGTGCAAGTTTAGTGATGTAACTCACGTGGCAAATGTGGAAGTAAGAAAGTATCAAGTACCTAGGGTAAAAAATTCAAAGAGATGGGGAGATTAATGATGATGTTACATGTCGTATTGGAGCGGGGTTGATGAAATGGAAGCTCGCATCTGGTGTCTTGTGTAATAAGAATGTGCCACCAAACCTTAAAAGTAAGTTTTATAAAGTGGTGGTCAGACCAGCTATATTATACGGGGTGAAGCGTTGGCTGGTGAAGAACTCACATGTTCAAAAGATAGGAGTAGTGGAAATGAGGATATTGAGATGGATGTGTGGGCATACTACAAAGCTATGATCCGGAATGAAGTTACTCGAGACAAGGTGAGAGTGACCGGTAGACAAGATACGGTAGGCAAAACTGAGATGGTTCAGACATATGAAGAGGTGCATGAGGTTGACTATAGTGGCAGGTAGAGGTAGGTCAAAAAATTCTTGGAGAGAGATGATTAGACAGAGCATGACTCACATGCAGCTCAACAAGGACATGACCTTAGATAAGAAGATGTAGAGGTCGAGAAATAGGGAAAAAGGTTGGTAGATTATGTTGTCTAGTTTCCCTTTTCAGTATTGTAATTATTACTCCCCATTCAATCTTATTCTTCAATTATAGTATTACTTGTTAGTTCCTTAGCTTTAGTTATTCCATTATTTTGTCGCTGCAACAATTTTTTTCTATTCTTTTGAGCATGACTTTTCGACTATATTTACTTTATATACTTGATTTATTACATGTTTTACATGAGCAGAGGGTGTATCAGATATGTTGTAAATTCTTCACGTAGTCAATGAGATTAGACATTGTGAAGAAATGAACATTGGCCTTCACTCCACCTCAAAAGCCAACTCATGAGGGGAAAATTAGGATTGCTCACAACCATACAAAAACACCACAATCCATTCCCCAACCAATGTAGGAGTTGACACTCCCCTTACAACCAGGACCAAACAACCAACAACTGGAGCGTGGATAACACAACACAAGGGCACAACATTGAAAAAAGTTACAACATGGATTAATGGATCTCACACTGATACCATGTAAAAAATTGTAATTTTGGCCTAGCTCAACCTCAAAAGGTAGCTCATGAGAGAAGGATTGTTCAAGACCAAACAAGGAGACCACAAAGCATTTCCTCAACCAATGTGGGGCATGACAAACAAAAGCACAAGATAACTCCTAGGTTATAAGAGACAAAAACACAAACAACATCTCGGTATTAGAAATATATAAGATTTATTCAACAGAGAACGTATCTGAATGGTAAATGGAGGTCATTTTGGAAACTCAGAGAACACTTAGAGATCTATGGTGTATGTAGATCAAACCCCTTTTCGCCCAAGCTCAAGCATAGTTCACTTATTTGAAATACTTATAACAGAGAGAAACAAATGCATATGATTACATACTCGAAACCAACAGGTGCTCCCAAGATAATAGCTCCCAGTGCATTAACAATGGCCCCTACAAACATAAAATAAGACAAGTCATTCGCAATATCGACAATATTGGGGATAGAATATTGTTAATATAGTCCCAGCTAATGAAACCTACTTCACTTGTCATGATATATTTTGAGATATACTAAAGAGGAAAACCCCCAATAAAGGTAAAACACATGAATACACAGTTAATGGATGAATCATTACTTCGAGGGGATTATACTGTTCCCAAGGACTTCAGGCAACAGATGCATTCAGAGACAAAAGACATGCTTCTAAACCAAGTAATAAACTTATACAGTACCACAATCAATTAACATAGAGTCTCAATCCCTGCGTTGGCTACATGAATTCTCATTATCCATTAAGCTATATTTGTTCTTTAATACAGAGAATTCATTCAGAAACTTCCACAGATATTTCACTGTAAATCATTTCAAAATCAAAATGCAAATGCTTATTTTTTAAAAAGAAAGTTTATTTTCCCAATGCAAATCCTTAACTTCATCTGACAACGTGGAAGAAGGTTTTTCATCAATGTGATTCAGAAAAACGCTCTCTTATGTTGTTTAAGGGATTCAACAATTATTACTCAACAACAACACCAACAACAAACCCAAATAAAGCAGAGTCTGGGGAGTGTAGAGAGTGTACACAAACCATACCCCTTATCTCGAGAAGATAGAGAGTCTGTTTCAACAATTTATTACTCACAAAAAATTCAATTGAACATCATTCCGGCAAGTGTTTCATCAAATCACCACATATAGAGAGAAAATGTAGAATTTTGTTTCCAAGAATGACTAACCTGCAACAAGACCCACATACCCTCGTCCTGCAGCTCGGAAATACTACGAAACACAAACAATTTCAAAATTGAGAGATTTACGATATTCAAAATATTAAAATTCAATGTAATCAAACACACAAAAAAAAAAGGATTAGAATTACAGAGCATTGCTCCATATCTTGTCGAAGATGACCGAAAAGAATCATCAGCACAGGACCCACAATTCCCTGAAAAAAAATGAAGCCTAAATTCAAAATCAACTACACAGATTACTCTCTTTGTACCATATATGTTAATTTGATAGATACCCAGATGATGAAAAGCGTTTGTGTTGGATGCGTGATGAGATTGATAGGAAATAAAGTGTGAGCAACCATGGAAGTTAAAACCAGTATAGTTCCAAGAATGAAATGAAGACGAACAGCTTGGAATGGTGGAATGGGCAAAAATACGCCATTTTCACTGATTAAAGTATCCATGACTGCAGTTTCTTCTTCTTTAATTATGATGTAAATCGCCAAGCTTTGTGCGGGATTATGTTAACTCAATGGACACACATATTGATTTTGGATGATAAAGTAAATAGAGAAAATGCCATAAATAGTTTATCAATATGAATAGGTCTAAAATGATTCTTTACTTATACACTTACCAAATTTAGTATTTTAAAAATTCAAAAACTTATTGATTTAATTCCTTAATTATATATTTATCGATTTGGTCCCTTAACTATATATATTTAGTAACTAATCATTTTAATTATGTTTAGGACTTTATTTTAGTTAATTGTATCTCATCAATTAATTTTAACCCATTTTTTTTAAATTCATTTCAAAAAAATGTCATCTCTATAATTAAAAATAACTTAACTTTTTATTAAAAAAAAATCTTCTTTTATGCTTAATGAAATGATTTAGACCCCTACAAAATTATCCTAAAGCTTACTTTAGATCATTGTTCCTAAATGACCCTATTACTACTCTGTGCGAAAATTTGTATATTAAAGTCTTAAATGATGCCCGAAATCTAAGTTTCCAACCAAGAACAACCATTCATTTTTCCCACCATTTCAAACCCGTTTTCAGCCCTCTACCCCATAATCCTTACGCCCGAAACAATGTAGGAGCATTGTAAACGTAAGGGAAACGACCATGCTTTAGAAATTTCAACAAATCAAAGCAAACTTTCAAAATTCAAAAACCAACTCAAACTCCTACTCTACTCAATCGATTTCTAGCATTTAACAATCATTATGCACTTAATGAAATAAGGAGACTCGAGATACGATTATTAAGTTTTGACGCTCGGGGCGGAGTGATCAGGAGAGAAAATTCAAGTTTGGGAGTGAAAAATGACAGAATGAGCGAGAAACCCATTTCTCTCCCCCTTAAAACTCTTTCCAATCTCTCACTATAGCGGCAGGACAACCGCTACATCGACACTGCTAAAGCGGGGTCCATGTTCATGGGTGGGAAACTTTTTTGTTGCTTTGTCCATTTAATTTCCTTGGCGTGGTTATTAGCAAGACCCCGGTGTACCTGGGCATTTGGGAGGAGGGAGTTTTCTATGGTTGCGTAAGACCTACATTCTCTCTTGATATTGTAAAAATTAGGTGATAGTATTCCATGACAGCTTTTTTTTCTTCCGTCTTAAAAATTATTTAAGGATAAAGGATGGGTAAATTGATATTTGTTGTAATGGACAATTCCTTTGTTATTCAGAATACACCTCATGCGAAACCCCAATTTTTTAAAAATACATTGCCAAATTAAATTGGGGTGAAACGATGAAAATTTTGAATTTGATCTGGGCTGAGGTCATCCTGCCATAGCTGGAATATTCCTGCTATGGAGCCGCCGCTGTAGCGGCGTCTCAGCTGCTATAACAAAGTTGACGGGGCAGAACCTAGAAAATACGAATTTTAAAATTTGACTCCTCTTCAGCGGTAAAATAGACGAGGGTTACTCCAAAAACCCTCTTAGACTGCTTTAAACTTGGGGAAAATGGCGAGGAGGGATTCTAACGCAAAAAGAACCAAAACCCATGGATTTCAGGCCTACGTTCCTCAAGATTCACCCCACGGAGCCAGAAACTCGTGTTCAAACCGCTTCAACAATTGCTTGGCATACAGGTAGGCAAAGATTAATTGAATAGTTAAATCTGTCTTTACTTGCATAATATGTGATAGGTTATAGGGAGATTTCATGTATAGACCTTCGAGTACGGAGTCTGAATGGTTAAATGTGTTGGTATTGTTGTTGAGAGCAGTAACATACTTGTTTATAAATGCTAGTCTTATGATAGTTGATAGGCGTTATCCTAAGGATGGTAACTTGTTGCTAATCAAATTATAGGATGGAGAATTATTTGGAAAGGATATTTTGAGGTAGGTGATGGTTGAATGTTTTCCATTCTACGTGATTGTGGGCATGTTAACTATTTCGCTAGTATTATTTGTACAATATGTGGTTACGGATTTGAAAAGAGAGGAAAGTGGAATGATATTTGGTTTGTCAATCTAATGCAATGAACTTTTCTTTATTACTTGCGGTTATAACAATTGTATTTGTATTAATGGTAATTATGATTGTGTGATGTTGTGATTCTCAGTTGACTCGAGTACCACTCCTGATACATATATTTTGGTTGGTTCAGGTACCACTCATGGTACATGATATATCTTGATTGAATCGGATACCACGACTGGTACATATTAGCGGTTGGTTCGGGTATCACACCTGAAATGAAATATCTATTGATTGATGCGGATACCACGCTTGGTACAGGTTCTATATTGGTCATCTCGTGTATTACATCTTATACATTGTTTGATTGTTCTTTGTGTGTTGGTTCCATGAGTGGACTAAACTTATTTATAATGTTGTATTTGTCACTTGTTGGTCCATGAGTGGGCCGAATTAATATATTTAAATACTTAAATGGTTATTGTGTAGACCGTTTTCTTGTTAAATAGCGTAGATGAGGTTTTAGGGATCCTTGGAGGGTCCGAGTCTATTGGAAGGGGGTGGGGATGTTGAACTAGGTGTGGGTTAAGTCGAGGGGAATAAGTAAGAGTATTGTTGATGGTCCACTAAAGGGGCCAAGGGCTAGGGTGTTGGCAAACCAGCTAATAAAATTGGTGGTGGATTTGATTTTGGGAATGGAATCAGTAGGGAGATTATGTGTTAGTAACAAACGATTTTAGAAAGTTTTTATGTGATAAAAGGATTAGATAATAATCCGATAAGAGGTTATAATGACTTTGGGTGGTGGAGTTGGCAGTGGAAACGGGGCACAGGTGACTTGGTATAGAGTGTACAAGTTCAAAGGTAGTATTGCTGGTAGTAAGGGCAATGGTTAAAGGATCGGGGTTGTACAGTTCGAGTTATATGTTTCCTCTAATTATTTACATAATATTATATGGTGGATTAAGATCGACTGACGATTCCTATCATTACGTGTTATTTGTACTAATATTACTCTTGCTATGTCACTTGACATTGTCTGGTTGTAGGATCAGTGTTGTTTCCTAGGTGAAGACGACGATGATCTCCGGCAAATTCTACTCTTCTTTCTCTTATGGGGAGTTGTGTTTTATTTTTTCAGATATTGTATCCTCTTAGAAGCTCTTGTATCTGTTTAGACTTGTTCCTAGGGAGGGTTCCATGTATTTTTTAAAGGTATCTTTAACGTAATCAAGGCTGACAATTGGTTCTTTTATTTAAATAGAGGGATATAACAAATTTTGTTCACTTCCTCATTTTCAGTTTTAAATTAGGTGGTAAGGGTTCTCCTATCTAGATGTTAGATAGGTACCCGCACGACCAGGTAGTTTGGGTCGTAACATCTAAAGTAGTTCATATCTAAAATTTGAAATGATTTGGTGAAGACTTGAGTGGATTTGGTTGAAAATTGAGATTTGAGGTTGAAAATGAGCCTATTTTTAGATTTTGGAGAAATAAGTACATTTTGCAGGACAATTTTGATTTTAGCCATTTTTTCAACAATTAATTTCCTAGTCCAATTTTAAGTAGTCTTATCAACTTATTATTAGAGTTCTTTTTTGTAGGTGTTTTCTTTTTCTGAGGTAATAGAATAAACAAAAAGAGGAACAAAGAAAAACGTAAATAATAAATATATTTATTGCAAGTTACTATTAAAAAATTTATGCTTTTGATCTCATAATGAGAGTGAAATCACTTTTCTTGCCACGTCAATTCTTAGGGTGATATTTATTTCATTTTTTGAAAATACAAGAGGATATTAAGACCTTGGAAAGAAAGATTTTGTCCCTAAAACTTCAATTATAGATTGAGATATTTATATTTTTTTCTTAAAATTTATGTAACAATTAAAATAAATATTATTATATTTCAAATAAGAACAACTATTTAAAGTTCAAAAAAGCTTTAAAAGCTTGACAGATTCAGTAACAACATAAAATAAAATATACAAAAGAACCCCATTTGTTCACTTAATTTTTTATTTTATAATAATCATTCTTATTTCACGACAAACATGGAACATGAAGGATTAAAATAATTAAGGCTTTGTGCCTTTATCTATGTGTTTGACAAACAAGAATTGGGGTAATGACTAAAGAGTACTTTAAGCATATTAGTCCTGCCTTTGAACACCTAGCGTTCCACTTTGAATCACATAAATCTTCTTGCAAAAAATACAACTCCATTTCATTAATTATAAGGATATAATAAAATTCAAATAAAAAATATTATTAGTAAAGGATAAACATGATTAGTAGATGATTAAGAAAGTGTCACATATATTACCTGAACCAGCTATAGTGGTTGGAATGAAGAAAGAAGTAAGAACAAACGTCACCAAAAGTAAGGTTGCAAAACTTAGCTTCATCATTCAAAGAAGAATTATATTTCAAGTGAATAAAAAGTCTATATTTCAAGTAAATAAACTTCAAGTCTAGATATAATACATATTTATTGGGGGAGGAAGGTTGATAACTATTTTACACCTCGGATCCAAATTAAACACATTATATTTTTTCTTAAATTGAACATATTATACATTTTTTCTCACACTTGAACACATTATATCTTCTCTTAAACTCGAACGCATTATATTTTTTCTTAAATTGATAACATTATGTATCTTCTTAAAATTGAACATATTATATTCTTTTTCTTAAATTGAACACATTATATTTATTCTTAAATTGAAAAAAAAAATATTTTTCCTTAAAATTGAACACAATATATTTTTTTCTTAAGCTCTACACATTTTATTTTTTCTTAAGTTGAAAACATTATATTTTTTTTTTAATTTGAAACATTATATTTTTTCTTAAATTGAACACATTATATTCTTTCTTAAATTGAAAATTGTATTTTTCTTAAAACTGAATACATTATATTTATTTCTTAAAATTGAACACATTATACTTTTTCTTTAAGAAGTTATTGACATTATCAGTATACAAAGGGTGGAAATCATTTACAATAGGATGCCGTTTATAAAGATAAAAAAAACCTGTGCACAATTGTTGCTATCTAATTTATATCGAATTTCCACTGAAAATAATATATTAAGAGTTTAAGACAAACAAACTAGTTATGAAATTGG